GTAACTCATTTTTACAAAGAATTCCAATTCATGCACATGCTACTAAAAAGTTCTAACTTTCAATCTTGAATAGAATAGAATAGAAGACATGAAATCTATCAACCCAACTATTCACTATAATCCCCAACTTGGGAAACACCCATCACAATACTCTCTTCCAAATCCACCTTCACATATACTCACCTAGTCACAAACAATAATAAGTATCAAAATTCACCTTTTTTCCCTCAAACCTTGCAATAATACCCCTTTGAAATGATCCCATCGAGAAGACCACTGTACAAGGTAATTAAGAAACAAACCATATGGTGTTAATCTCTATGGCACGATACAAGAGTAGTGAAGAAAGTGAAACTTCTATCGTCCTATCGACTCTTGCTCATATATTTTTCAAGACTCACCACCGATGAACAAGACTCTACTAGAGGTGGCATTATGAGACTTTGAATCGTAGAGACTAATTCATAAAATTTTGGTATTATATCAAGTTAGTACGACCCAAGAGCACCCCCAAGTCTCTGCATGGTGTAATCGATCTCTTGGAGGTCTTGAACAAGCCTCTTAGAATTTATTCATCACATACATAGGAAAAGTAGTTATGACACCTCGAAAAAGACTAAGGTGAAGCTAGATCGTAAAATATTTGTCATGAAGTTATAAGTTCATAAAATGGCTTATAATTTTGTATTAAGGCACTGTCTAAAGATTTAGGTGCAATAGAAGTCAAGAGTCAAGGGACGACCAAGATGTTCGATGACTAGTCCCCTATGTGACTCATGCGTTGTTATGTTAATATATGTGTGTTTCATGAGTTAATGAGGTCCTTATATGAGTTATTATATTTTTATAGGAAGTGTGTCAAGTTTCATGGATTTTGGAGGTCAAACGTCCAAGAACATCCATGACATTCAAAAGGTTTGCCTTAAAATGACTTTGTGTGTCTTGGCAAGTTTCGACGAGTTTTAGATGTTCATTTTGGATAAAATTGAAATGGGAGGTCCTAAGCTCATATAAAAGAATATTCGAGATTGAAACGTCCTGGTAAAAGTCCCCAAGGACCATCTAAGGGTCCTTGAGGAAGAAACCTTCCTAGAGCAAAACCAGTCCCAAACGATGGAGGTAAACGACGGCTCTTTGGCCAAATGACGCCCCGTCAATTGGAGTCGTGGGAAAATAATTAGACTAGGGAGGTCAAAATACCAATTTCAAGTCTCTGAACCCATCAATAGACAGCCGGGATAGTCCATTTGTGGACCAATGACCCGTCGATGGGCAATCGTGGGTTGGACTAATTTTCTGCGCAGTTCACTGTAAAGTGAAGGGGTGAATTGGTAAATTCACCCCACGTATAAATAAGAGTTTGGGAGGTCAATATGGGGTATTTTAGGTACATTAAGTGGATATATATGTCATAAATTTCTAGATGAATTAATTCTTCCAAATCAAAACACCAAAATCTCTAAGAAATTCTCTAGAACTCCATTGAAGCCAAAACTCAAGGAAGAGCTTGTATTGGATATTTGAGTGGCGATTCTTCATAAAATTGGTGGATTAAAAACAGTGAGGTATGGTTTTTTTTATCCTTGAAACTCTATTCATCAAGGAGCCCAAAATTCAAAGAGTTCTCTAAAGTTTTCTGAAGATAAACTTGTCTAATTTTATGATCTATCCATGGGTTCTTGAATTAAATGTTTTGAATCATTATATATTGATGTTAATTATATAATTTTAATGAACTAACAAATGAACCCATGTAATTCATGAACCCTAAATTTTAACTACATCGTGGTTTACTTCGTATTGACTCAATACTTATGGAATCTAATGTAGTTTCCCAATGGGCTATTGAATGATGAAAGATTTGTATTCATTTGATCTGTAGGTCATATTAGATTGATAAATCTATATTAAATTGACATATATTCATTAAGTATTATGATTTTTGTATTGAAATGATGTTCATGGCCATGGGTAAGGGCTTTTTGGTATTGAATTGAATGATTTAGCTATGTCTTGAGTTGAGAATGGACTGGTGGTACGCTACCCAAATTTTCTTTATATTATGTAATGCAGTTCTTTTATTATCTTGTTATTGGTATGGTCCAGTTATGGTGGTGGTTCTATGTAACAATCCTAACAATGGATATGATAAGTAATGCTTAATGTGTCTAGAACACCTACATTAGACTAGGGTTCAAACGGACTGATGCGCGTAGAACCAGACCTCGGAACCCTTACAACAGCAAATCCAACTAACTTTGGAATTTAGTTGATCTATGAAAGGTTTGTTCCAGCCATGTAGGGATCTCGAATACGAAGATTTACTTGAATGAGTCTTTACCAGAATTAAAAAGGGAAAATCATAGTTTTGGAGGGTCTAGGGGTAAAATAGTCATTTTCCAGGATAAGGGTAGTATCATAATTACTATAAATATATAATTAATTATTTAATAAATAAGGTGGAGGGGCATTGTAGGGAGAGATTTCCGAAAATGGGCTCTTGAAGTGAAGTCTTTCTCCACTCGGGTTCGAACCTAGGTGGAAGCAATGAATTAAAGTTGTTTTTATTTAAGTTTTAAAATTAATGTTATTAATTAACTAATTTTTATTCATTTGATATTTAAAATAAAAGGGAAAACATATTTTTATTTAATAAAATATTTTTTGATGAAGTCCTAAACTACACTCCCAAGCCTAATAAAACTCCCACTCTCTCACGTCTATCTCTCAACTCTCATGTTCAATATCTTTTTTTATGATTCTCTCTGCCAAATAACTTCAAGAAAAGTAGGTAAACCAAAGTTCTTTACACTTGAAGAACACACAAATGAAAATTTTAGACAAACAACTAATCAATTGCGTTGGCAAAGAGAAGGTTTTCCGTCGAGTTTGGTGTTGAACATTTGGTGTTGGACGTGTGTTAGAATATTTCTTTGGGAATCAAGTCGATATTTGAACGAAAAAAATGTATAGGTTGCCTTATCTCTTGGTCCCTTTCCCAAGAGACCCCTTAAGGTTCAGAATATTTAGTCCGAAAACTTGGGCTGTTCCCCGTTGCATGTCCCTGTCGCTAGCTCCTAATCATTCACAGGTTGGGCATGTTTGCTGGTAAATATTAGGTGTGTGTTGTGTTGTCGTGATGAATATGTTCTACGATGGATCAATTTGTCATCCAAAACTATGTGCATGTGTGTGCAATGTGAATCATGACTATGTGCCTCACGTTTAAGGCTCTAAAATGTGATTTTAGTTCTTTGTATTTCATGTACATGTTTATATAAATCGTGACGTTCATAAGTGATTTAAAGATGATGATTTGAGTGGAATTCCTTATCGAATGAAATCTTGAAAATGCACCTAAAGAACTCACTAAAAACTACCTAAAACGTCTAAACATTCAATGTTAAAGAAGTGAGAAAATAGGCTGCAAAAAAATTCTAGCACCTTGTTAAAGAATTTCGGCCAAGCTAGAGGAAATTTTATGCTATAAAAAATGAATTAAAACAAGTGAGGTCATGGAGGGTTGAACCCGTGACCTCACCTTGTTAAAAATCATGATAATAAACAATTAAAAAGGATGTGGTGAAGGGGATTCTAACCATGGTTTTGGGATGGAAAATAATGTATGAAAATAAGAAAAGAGAGGAGTGGGATTCGAACCCACAACCTCTTGGTAAAGAATAAGGAAAATTGAGAAGAAAATAAATGTGAGGAGTGGGGATCGAACCCATGACCTCTAGGCAGTAAAGGAAAATAAAAAATGAAGAGAAAAGAAATGTGAGTGGTGGGAATTGAACCCACGACCTCTAGGAAGTAAAGGAGAATTTTAAGAAAAATAAAGTGAGGCTATAGGGGTTTGATCCCACAACCTCATGGTAAACTCGAGATAGTCAAGGAAAATAATTAAACAAAATAAAAGGGGCTACAGGGGCTCGATTCAACAACCCTTCGGCCAAGAAAGAAAACTTTCAAAGGATAAAAATATAAAGGAAATGTTGATGTTGGGGCTCGATCTGGGGTCTCAATGTCATGTGGACTGAAATTAAATTAAAAGAAAAATGTAAAGTGTTGTCCAAGGGATTTGAAACTGGGTTCCCTTGCCTAAATTCAGTAAGCCTAGCTATGAGCGGTGGTACCTTCTTCCGGGAAAGGCGGAGGTTCACGTAACTCTCATGAGATAAGACTGTCCGGCATGCCGGGTATGTCTCTCCTTCTATCTCCTGGTCTTTGAACCTATAGTTCCAATATAGGGATCTGGCGGGGTTCAATTACATTGGACTTCATGATGCTCAAATGATCTATGTCAGTTAAAGTTAAAGTTCCCCATGAATGAATGAGGCCAGCCTCAAATGATGCACATAATGAATTGAATGATGCCAAAGGTGTTAGGATAGGATAATCAAGTTGTAAGTTAGACTTAAGTAATGACATTAGGTTATTCTTGATCATTGCACAGCGAACCCGTCTTAAATTACATTCTAGGTATAGCTGGCGTTTACACTAGTCCATGAATAAAATTAAATGAAGTACGTATGAATGAATGAAGAAGACTATGTGTTTTCTAAAGAAGGATCCCTAGTTGAGGTCCCATATGTTAAGCCCTCATTTATGGAAAGTCTTGATGTCAAGTCCATGATTCCTAGGTCTCATGGCATATGAACAAATGCTATGCAAAATGCTATATGATATATGCAATATGTTTTGTGCTATGTGCAAGATGTTATGTGCTGTGTGCAATATGATAAGTATGATGATGCATGTTAATCTCATGTCATGACTTTCCTAATCCATATTTTTAAAGTTCACTCACTTTCCTAATCCAAATTTGGAATGCTCACCAACTTTCCTAATCCCAATTTGGCAATTCCACTGACTTGAGATTCCATAATCATGTTGTTAGGAAAGATCTATTATTACTCATGCATGTCCTTGGTGTGTGCTTGCATATAACCATACTTAGTACAAGTGTTTACTAACCCTATACAACTCTACAATTTTAGGTGTAGGCACAGGTGGACGCTAGATCTACAGCTTCACGCTGAAACTATTCGGACGTGGAGCATTCATCCGGACTTGGTAGGCCCTCATGCTTTCGAGGATGCTTGCCTATTATATTCTATCTTAGTTATAGGATTTAGATAGTGGAGTATGTTCCACTAGTTTTTCTTTCCATTTTTATTTCCAGACTTTGTAATGGTGCCATTTGGGCAATTGGACATTTAATGTAGTATTGAACTATTTCTTTCAGTTGATAATCTTAATGTTAGATTGTTGATTGTGAACATTATGAATGAATGTAGAATGACCTTTATGCATGATATGAAACAAAATTTTCAAATTTTCCGCTAAAATTAACCCATATGAAGTAAGAAATACTTAAGTAGGCTTTTCCACGACCTCTGAGAGGTCTACGATGCCGGTCTCGACTCTGGTCTAGACTCCGGTCCTGACAAAGTTTGTATTAGAGACCTAGGTTAAATTTCTAGGATAATAAGTTCACATCAACCACATTGAGTAGTTTCTAAGTCATGGGAGTGAAGTGCACCACTATCCTGAGTTAGAGTTGGCATTATGCACAACAAAATTTCCCTTATTTGGATCATACCATGCCTTTTCAAATATCTGATTTTCTTATTGTTATGAGCGTGTCTAACATCAATCCTTTTTGTTTTTCAGAAAATGAATACTAGGAGAACAATTGGACAAAGTAGAGGAGGAGTAGCTGCTGGGGACAATCAGGTTCCACCCCATGCTCCATTTGAAGGAGTGGTGATGCCAGTTAACCCTGCTAGGTTGACTGATGCTGAGGTGAGGGCATCTCTGGCCCATATGGAACAAGCCATCACAATGCAGGCCAAGGCCATGACCGACCAGGTCAACCGACAAAATGTTCAGAGGGAGAACCCACGGGTTTGTTGTATCGGTGACAGGCTAAGAGACTCTACGTGGATGAATCCTCATATTTTCATAGGGTCTAAGAATTCATAGGATCTTCACGAGTTTGTTGATGAGGTGCATAAGATATTTATGGCTATGGGGCCCACAAATAGTGAGAATGCAGAGTTTGCTTCCTACCAATTAAAGGATGCTGCACAGACTTGGTGCAACATGAGTCAAGATAGCTGAGTTTTGGTGGAGCTTTGGTCACTTGGGAGCTATTTAAGACAACCAATCTGGAAAGGTTCTTTCGTAGAGAGACAAGGAAGGCCAAGGTTGAGGAGCTTATTAACCTTAAGCAGGGATCCATGACAATCAAGGAGTATTCCCTGAAGTTTGTTTAAATTTCCAGGTATGCTACTTCCCTTGTATCTATCCAGAGAGATGAGATGAGAAAGTTCCTCAAAGGAATCAACTGAGATTTGGAGGAGGAGTGTCAGTTTGCGACGCTCCACAATAACATGGACCTCTCCAGGTTGATGGTTAATGTCCAGTAAGTAGAGGACAATCGTAAGAACAGGGGCGTTCATGATGCTAGGAGGCCTAAGCCTTAAGATCAGACAGGTCCCAACCATGGAGGCCACAGAAACAATTTTGGCGTCCGTGAGCAGCCCAGGTTCAAAAATGGGCAACGAAGTTCAGTGAACTCTAACTCTCATAAAAGTACAACCCCTATAGGAGGCAGACCCGACCCTGGAAGGGCAACAGAGGTGAGATGCAGAGTCCCAGAAAGAACTGTGCTAAGTGTGGCAGTGCTCACAATGGAGAGTGCAGACAGGGCACTAATGCCTTCTTCGATTACGGTAAGAGTGGACACATGGTTAAGGACTGCCCACAGAACGAGGTCAGGCTGGAGGTAATGATCAAGATAGGCATAATCCAAAGGATGCAACAGCAACCGAGTCTCCTAAGAGGAATAGGTTCTACGCCCTTAAGGAAAGGGAGGAGCAGGAGAAGTTTGCTGATGTAGTTACAAGTATGCTGCAAGTTTTCTCAACTTATTTTTATGCTTTACTTGATCCAGGGTCTACACTTTCCTTTGTAAATCCTTTGCTTGCTCTCACTTTTGAGATATTTCCTTAAGTTCTGCATGATCCTGTAGTGGTTAGTACACCTATAGGAGAAATTGTAAGAACTGATAGAGTATACAAGGATTACCCAATAGTTGTATTTGGTAAGACTATGTGTGCGGACTTGGTTGAGTTATCAATGGATGATTTTGATGTGATTCTTGGCATGGACTGGTTTCATAGTTGTTATGCTTGCATGGATTGTCGTAGTAGGGTTGTGAGATTTTGTTTCCCTATTGAAGAAGAGTTAATTTGGGAGGGGTACAACTCGAGTCGTCCCTGTCCCTTGATTTCGAACCTTAAGGCCAATAAAATAATGTCCAAGGGGTTATTGCGTCTTCTTGTGAATGTTAACACTTTAGATCATGACATTCCTTCCATAGACTCAGTGCCTGTAGTGAATGAGTACCAAGACATATTTCCTGATGATTTGCCTGAAGTTCCTCCCCCTCAAGAGAATGACTTTGGTATCGACTTAGAACCCGATACTAAACCAATTACAATTCCTCCTTATAGAATGACTCCAGTTGAACTCAAAGAGTTGAAGCTCCAGTTAAAATATATCACTCATAAGGGTTTCATTCAGACGAGCATATCCTCTTGGGGTGCTCCAGTGTTGTTTATGAAAAAGAAAGCTGGAACCTTAGAATGTGTATCAATTATCAACATCTCAACAAAGTCACTTTCAAGAATAAGTATCCACTTCCTAGAATAGATGACTTGTTCGATCAACTCCAAGGGTCTAGTTTTTTATTGAAGATTTATCTTTGTTCAGGGTACCATCAACTCAGGGTTAGAGATGGAGATATCCCAAAGACAGCCTTTCGTACCCGTTATAGTCATTATAAGTTCCTAGTTATGTCATTTGGTCTCACGAATGCACCTACTGCATTTATGAATCTAATGAACAGGGTTTGCTGTAAATACCGTGACTAATTCGTCATAGTATTCATTGATGACATTCTCATCTACTCTAACACCTAGGAAGATCATGAACAACATTTGAGACTAACCTTGAAGGTACTTAGACAACACCAGCTGTATGCCAAATTCAGCAAGTGTGAATTCTGGCTTAGATCAGTGACCTTCCTGGGTCATGTTATGTTCCACAAAGGTGTAAAGGTAGATCCCAAGAAGACTGAAGCTGTTAAGAACTGACCAAAACCTCTTACGTCCTTAGATATTTGTAGCTTCTTGGGATTTGTTGGTTATTATCGCAGGTTCATGAAGGGTTTTTCTTCCATTGCTGCCTCACTAACATCTTTGACTAAGAATAAGGCCAACTTTGAATGGACGGAGGCTTATGAGAAGAGTTTCCATGATCTCAAGGATAGACTCACTTAAGCCGCGGTTCATACTTTGCCTAAGTATGGTGAGAATTACACTGTGTATTGTGATGCATCTAGGGTTTATTTGAGTTGTGTGGTAAGGTGATAGCTTATGTGTCTAGACAGCTCAAGGTTCATGAGAAGAATTATCCCACTCATGACCTGGAATTGGCAGCTATGGTGTTTACACTAAAGCTGTGGAGTCACTACTTGTATGGGGTGCATGTGGATGTATTTGCAAACCACAAGAGTCTTCAGTACGTGTTCGCACAGAGAGAGTTGAATCTATTTCAACATATATGGTCAGAGTTGTTGAAGGACTATGACATTAATGTCACTACCATCCAGGTAAAGCTAGTGTTGTAGCTGATGCTTTGAGTGGGATGAGTATAGGAAGTACAACCCACGTTAAGGATGGGAAGAAGGAATTGGTGAAAGATATACATCGACTAGACAGACTGGGTGTGTGGTTGGTTGACTTTACTAGTGGGGGTGTTTTAGTTCATCCTATTTCTGAATCATGCTTAGTAGTTGAAGTTAAGGAGGGTCAGCATCTTGATCCCATGTTGATAAAGCTGAAGGACTCAGTGTTGGATAAGATGAATGAGTCTTTTGCTTTGAGAGATGATGACATACTTAGGTACCAGGACAGGCTCTGTGTACCAGATTTGGGTGATTTGAGGATCAGGATCATTGCAGAGGCCCATGGTTCCAGATATTCCATACATCCAGGTTCCACTAAGATGTATCGTGATCTTAAGCAGATCTATTGGTGGGATTGCATGAAGAAGGACATCGCAGAATATGTGGCCAGGTGCCTTAATTTTCAACAGGTTAAGGCAGAACATCTAAATCCTAGCGGTCTTACTTAGATAATTGAGGTTCCGACTTGGAAATAGGAGGCCATTAATATGGACTTCGTGTTTGGTCTTCCGAAGACTATGAGACAACATGACTCCATATGGGTTATTTTGGACTGGATGAGTAAGTTTGCCCACTTTATCCATGTGAAAACTACTTATAGAGCCGAGGATTATGTGAAACTCTACATTGATGAGTTTGTGAGATGGAATGAGATTTCTTTTTCTATCATTTCAGATAGAGGAGCTCAGTTAACTTTACATTTCTGGAGATCATTCTAGAAGAGATTAGGTACGCAGTGAAGCTTAATACTGCATTTAATCCTTAGACTGATGGGTAGTTGAATGCACCATTCAAACATTGGAGGAAATTTTGAGGGCGTGTGTGATTGACTTCAAGGGTAGTTGGGACGTCCATCTACCGTTGATAGAGTTCTTGTACAATAATAACTGTCACTCTATCATTGGGATGGCACCGTTTGAGGCACTTTATGGTAGAAGGTGTAGGTCCCCAGTTGGGTGGTTTGAGGTTGGAGAGTCATCTATTTTTGGTCCAGAGATCATACATGAGGCCTTAGAGAAGGTCATAGTAATTAGGGACAGTTTGGTTACTTCTTACAGTTGGTAGAAGTCTTACGCAGACAGTTTAAAATGGCCCTTAGAGTTAGATGTTGGTGACCAGGTCTATTTGAAGATATCACCTATGACGGGGGTGATCAGGTTTGGTAGGAAGGGGAAGTTGAGTCCGAGGTATGTTGGGTTATTGAGATCCTACAACGTAAGGGTGAGGTGGCCTATGAGTTGGCATTGCCTGCTAATCTATATTCTGTTCATCCAGTGTTTCATGTCTGTATGTAAAAGAAGTGCCTAAGCGATCTAGCATAGATTTTACCTGTTGAAGGTTTAAGGGTTGATGAAAATTGTCCTATGAGGAGGTACGTGTTGAGATCTTAGACAGACTAGTCAAGCGGCTGAGGAACAAGGAGATCGCCACTCTGAAGGCATTGTGGAAGAGTCATCTTGTTGGGGGAGGGGCGGGCTACATGGGAGGCCGAGGCCGATATGAGGTACCTCTACCCTTATCTTTTCAACTCTTGAGGTTAGACTCCCTACTCTGAAGTCTAAGTTACCTTAGCTCTCCATTATTTATTGCTATTGCTCGATTGTGTATAGTAACTATGTTATTATCTGTTTGGCATTACACAAAATAGTTAGTAGTGTCATTTGTCGATGAATGTTGCTAAAGGGGGATAATGTAACAACCCTGAAAATGGATATGATAAGTAATTCTTAATGTGTCTAGAATGCCTACAATTCAACCAGGGTTCACACGGATTGATGCGCGTAGGTTCAGACCTTGGAACCGTTACGACAACCATGTCAACTAACATGGGGAGTTATTTGAGCTAGGAAAGGTTGGGTAAAGCCATGTAAGAATCTCGAATACGAAGATTTACTCGAATGAGTCTTTACCAAAGTTAAAAGGGAAAATCGTAGTTTTGAAGGGTCTAGGGGTAAAATGGTTTCCGAGCTAAGGGTAGTATTGTAATTACCCTAAATATATAATTTATTATTTAATTAATAAGGTATAAGGGCATTTTGGAAGAGAAGACCGAAAATGGGCTCTTGAAGTGAAGTCTTGCTCCACCCAGGTTCGAACCTAGGTGGAATCGACGAATTAAAGTTGTATTTATTTATGTTATTAAATTAATGTAATTAATTACTAATTATTATTCATTAGTTGATTTAAAATAAAAGGGAAATCAGATTTTTATTTAATAAAACCTTATTTCACTAAATCCTAAACTAGACTCCTAAGCCTAATAAAACTCCAACTCTCTCATGTCTATTTCTCAACTCTCACGTTCAATCTCTCTTTTTTTGATGATTCTCTCTGCCAAATAATTTCAAGAACAGTAGGTAAGCCAAATTTCTTCACACTTGAAGAACTCACAAACTAAAATTTTAAACAAACAACTAATCAATTGTGTAGGCAAAGAGAAGGGTTTCCGTCGAGTTTGGTGTTGAACTTTTTGTGTTGGTCGTGTGTTTGGAGGAGTTATTTGGCAAGCAATTCGAGGTTTGAACGTCAAAAAGGTATGGTTTCTCTTCTCTCTTGGTACCTTTCCCAAGGGACCCCTAAAGGTTCAGAATATTCAGTAAAAAAACTAGGGTTGTTCCCCGTTGCATGTCCTTGTCACTAGCTACCAATGATTCGTAGGTTGGGTATATTTCATGGTAGATATTAGGAGTTTTTTTTCGTTATGAATATTTTCATGTGTGTGTGTTTGAAATCGTATGAAGGATCACCTATGTGATCCGAAATTATGTTCATGTGTGTGGAATGTGAATTATGACTATGTGCCTCGAGTTGATGGCTCTAAAAAGTGGTGTTAGTTCTTTGTATTTTGTGTACACATGTTTATATAAATGATGATGTTCATAAGCGATGTAAAGATGCTGATTTTAGTGCAATTCCTTATCGAATGAAATCTTGAAAATGCACCTAAAGAACTCACTAAAAACTACTTAAGACGTCTAAACATTCAATGTTAAAGAAATGAGAAAATAGTATGCAAAAAAATTCCAGCACCTTGTTAATGAATTTCGGCCAAGCTAGAGGAAAATTCAGGCTATAAAAAATGAATTAAAACAAGTGAGGTCATGGAGGGTTTAACCCGTGACCTCACCTTGTTAAAAGTCATGAAAATAAAGAAGTAAAAAGGATGTGGTGAAGGGGAATCGAACCATAGTTTTGGGATGGAAAATGATGTATGAAAATAAGAAATGAGAGGAGTGGGATTCAAACCAACAACCTCTACGTCAAGCTTAAGGAAAACTGAGAAGAAAATAAATGTGAGGCGTGGGTATCGAACCCACGACCTGTAGGCAGTAAAGGAGAATAAAAAATGAAGAGAAAAGAAATGTGAGTGGTGGGAATTGAACACACGACCTCTAGGCAGTAAAGGAGAATTTCAAGAAAAATAATGTAAGGCTGTGGGGGTTTGATCCCACAACCTCATGGTTAACTCGAGAATTTCAAGGAAAATAAATAAAAAAATAAAAGGGGTTGTGGGGGTTCAAACCCACAACCCGTAGGCCAAGAAAGAAATTTTTGATGAAAGTCAAGGAAATGTTCATGTTGGGGATCGATCTAGTGTCCCAATGTCATGTGTACTGAAATTAAATACAAAGAAAAATGTGAAGTGTAATCCAATGGATTTGAAATTGGGTTCCCTTACTCAAATTCCGTATTGATACATAAGTCATACGTGAATTAAATATTCAAGAATAATGATGCCTACTTAGATCGAAATTGAGATCTTAGCATACATACAAGATGCATAAGTCTTGTACCACATAATCTTAGGAAGATGTGAATCACTTAAACGAACTATGTGCGAAGCCTCATGGCTTGTATGTAAAGACCCATAAATCTAGTATACATTTAAAAATAAGTGAATCTAAGATGTATGTAGTGAAATGATGTAACCCTAGAAGGGTTAAGTAAGAATGTAAACCACACTAAATTTCCAAGTGCATTCGCACATGATGAAATGAACAATGATATGAAAAATGAAACAACGAAATAATCAATGAAATGATGAAACCCTAGAAGGGTTAAATAAGAGTGCGAAACACACTAAATGTCTAAGTGATTGACATATGAGTAAATGAACATTCACGTAAAAGGGGGCGAGTAATTATGAAGAGCAAATGTGATAATGCTAATGAATGTGGTGACAACATGATATGAGGCTTACGTAAAAGAGGAGATCAATCTCAAATAAGCCTAAGTAAAAGTTACCAAAACGTACTCACCTATGAGAGTATAAAGTTAATGAAAAGATCAGTCTTAATGAACACTCTAATGAAAGTTTTGAGATTAACACACTTAATACTAATGATGAGATGACAAATAATCTTTTGAGCTATGATGTCCTCATACTGGAATCTAACTTCCATGACTTATGAGTTGAATGTAATGGAACTTATACTAATCACTGATAGACTAGCTATGAGCGGTGATGCCTTCTTTTGGGAAAGGCATAGGTTCACGTAACTCTAATGAGATGAGACTATCCGGCATGCCGGGTATGGGTCTCCCTCTATCTCCTACTCTTTGAACATATAGTGCAAATATAGGGATCTGGAGGGGTTCAATTACATTCATAATGCTCACATGATCTATGTCAGTTAAAGTTAAAGTTCCCCATGAATGAATGAGTCCAGCCTCAAATGAAGCACATAATGAAACGAATCATGCCAAAGGTGTTAGGATAGGATAATCAAGAGGTGAGTTAGATTAAGTAATGACACTAGGTTATTCTTGATCATTGCACAGCGAACCCGATGAAAGTCTTAAACTACATCCTAGGTATAGCTGGTGTTTACACTAGCCCATGAATAAAATGAAATGAAGTACGTATGAATGAATGAAGTAGACTCTGTGTTTGCTTAATAAGGATCCCTATTTGAGCTCCCATATGTTGAGCCCTCATTTATAGAAAGTCTTGATGTCAATTCCATGATTCCTAGGTCTCATGGCATATGAACGAATGCCATGCAAAGTGTTTTATGATATATGCAATATGTTTTGTGCTATGTGCAAGATGTTATGTACTGTGTGCAATATGATAAGTATGATGATGTATGTTAATCTCATGGCATGAATTTCCTATTCCAAATTTTGAAAGTTCACTCACTTTCCTAATCCAAATTTGGAATGCTTACCAACTTTCCTAATCCCTATTTGGCAAGTCCACAGACTTGACTTCCCATAATCATGTTGTTAGGAAAGATCTATTATTACTCATTCATGTCCTTGGTTTATGCTTGAATATACCCATACTTAGTACAAATGTGTACTAACCCTATACAACTTTACAATTTTAGGTACAGGCACACGTGGATGCTAGATCTACAGGTTGATGCTGAAACTATCCGGACGTGGAGCATTCATCCAGACTTGGCAGGGCCTCATGATTTAGAGAATGCTTGCTCATTATATTGTAGCTTAGTTATAGGATTGAGCTAGTGGAGGATGTTCCAGTAGTGTTTCTTATATTTCCTACTTTAGACTTTGTATTGGTGCCATTTTTCGCAATTATACATTTAATGCAGTATCCAATTATTTCTTTCAGTTGATAATGTTAATGTTAGATGGTTGATTGTTAACATTATGAATATACGTAGAATGACCTTTATGCATGAAAAGAAACAAAAGATTTTCAATGCTAAAATTAACCTAGATGAAGTAAGAATGACATAAGTAGGCTTGTTTGCGACCTCAGAGAGGTCAACGATGCCGGTCTCATCTTGGGTCTAGACTCCAGCCGTGACATGCTATGTGAATTATGTGTCCTTGTCGGTGTTACTTTATATATTATGATAATCATGGCCTTGTCGGCAACTACTTGATATACTATGATGTTTTTTTAAAGTTGATTTATGTGAAGTATGATCATATTCATCTACTTGTGATTAAAGTGAAAATATGTGTTCTTCTCTTGATGTGGTTAGGTGATCATGTTAGACTATGACTACGTCATTATTTGTAGTCATAGAGTTGATGCATGATTATTCCTACTTGACTAAATGAGTCTATGATGGTTATATGGATCATGTTATAGTACTGTATAGGATGACTTAGCTGATAATGGTTATTCCTATGTTTTTCTGTAATTATATGCAATATGTGCTAAAGTGAAGTATTGGTCTCTTGTGTGGTAGACTTGTGTCCCTTACTTGAAACATACATGAATGTGAATATGAGATGTCTTGACCTTAGGATACCAAAGCCTTTTAAATATTGCATATATGAATGACATGAGACATTGAATGATTCTAAGAAGGTCCTTTATGTAAAACCTTTTACCTAGTAGTAAGGTTATGAACCTTGAAATCGAAAGCCATAATGGTATCCCATTTGTATGAATGATGGAACTACAGTTTGTTGGCATGAACGACATCATATCATCTTTAGGAAAGTCATTAAGCTATCCTCTTTGCATTCTAAGGAAGCATCAAGGACCTATTTGGTAGGGTGAATGTGATTGGATTATGAACTATATATGGAACCCCTTCGTATGATTGTTTTATTTAAATTACTCTTTGAGAATAAGGTCTAGCACCGTGCGAGTATGGTGTTGGAAATAGCTCTTATGAATAACAAGACTAGAGTACAAAGGAACCCTTCATATTCCTTAACCATGTGCCTACATGGGATGTGTACAAGTTCTACCATTGGGGAGTTGAACACCGTCCATCAGAGTAGGTTACAACTCTTCATTCCATGCTTTTCTACCATGGTCTATGTCAGTTATTTCCTACCCTCATCATATGGAATACCTAATAGTATTGGAGAAGTATATGATGTTTAGATTGAGGTATGTGACGTTTTGTAGACATTGTATAATAGGCTTTAAAGATGTTAGTGAGAGTTCCTAGGTCTTCTCCAAAACTATTACTTGAATGTCCTTTATGTGATAGTCTTAAATGAACTAATGAATGTAATGACTCAAGTTAACAAAGCGTGTTAAATGAAGTACTTATTTAGAGTAGTTAAGGGTTGTCTAGTTAAGGTGTGAAGGCGACATAAAGATGGGCATTTCATATCTTACCTAGATAAGTCTTAAGAATGACACTAGTTAGGAAAATTGGTTGATAAGTGGACATGATTCAAACATACGTAGTCTAAGAATTAATTAGTTTATATTGAAGAGGTCAAGCATGAACATTTCCTCTTTATTTACTTGAGTAGGTATCTAGATAACCTTTTGAAAGAAAATGGCAAATTCTATGAATACTATTGTCCTAAGTGAGAATAGACTTATCCTAGGTAATCTAAAGGATTTCTTAAGTGTATGTGAAAGGGATTCTATGGGCATTCGCTTTGTAATCACTCAAGTGAACATTAGAATCACCTTTGGTAGGAGGATCTCATCTTTATGTGTTGGGTGTATTGGAAGTGTGTATATCTGATTATGGATGGTCTTAAGGATCATTTAGGTGTGCCTAGAGAGGTTATACGGGAGGTCTCTCTTTGTATTACTTAAGTTAGTCTTAGGATAGCTCTAAGTGGGGAATTACATGCTAGAAAGTATCCAATATGAAGTTGAGGAACTTCATTGTAACAGTGAAGGAGTTCATTATACCTGTGAACTTGGTTACTGTAAAGTTGTTCTTAAAATGTGATACATTGATGAAGTGTTATCTTATGTGTTTCTAAGGTGATAAATGTTGTTCTTATGCTTATAGTATGATAATTAAATAAAAATGTGCATATTTCCATTCAATATTTGTTATCATGATTTTTATGAATTATCCCGTACTTAGTAAATGTGGTTGTACTAATTCCATGCTTTTATCTATCTATGAAGTGATTCATATGTGAAGGTTCCATTGGAAGATAAGATTGGATTATATGATCTCTCAAGCAAGTTTGAACTATGTACTCATTTGAGTCGAGGGCATGAATGTCTTTTATTTGTATTATTGAAGTATTGTAATAGAGTTAGTATTACTATATTCCTATTGTATGAATCATGCACCAAGTACTCTTGTGTCTAAGATTTGATGAAATGAGACGTAGTATTTGTTATGGATTTTATATGAAAGATATTTGAAAGACTATTCGAATGTTTGTGAAAAGTTTTAATTCCGCACTTTCATATGTATGTATGAGATAAACAATACGAAAAGGCTTGTTCAAGACCTCCGAAGTATGCCGTGTCATGATTCGAGATTGACACTATCTTCTAGGTTTTGGTCTTGGGTCATGACCAATATGGTATTATAACATAGGTTATTAAAGTAGTCTTAGGAATCAAAGTCTCATCAAGTCACATCTAATAGAGTCTTGACCATTGGTGTGAGTCGCGACATATCTATGGGTGAGAAGCAACATGACGATATAGTTTCCCTTATTTTCTACTTCTATGTCGTGCCGTAGAGTAAAAGTTATGAGTAATCTTTTCTTATGGTTTTACTTCTGTTATAAGAGATGAATACGAGGAGGAAACCTGCTAGCAGAGTTGAGGAGAATGATGTGAATGAGGAGATTCCTCCTCAAGTTGAGCAAGTTCCTTAATGTGCTCAAGGTGATAAAGTCCCTATTGTGGGGGAGATAATGATGTTCCAGTTGTTCCCACAGAACTGACAAATGGGAAGATTTACTTTAGCCTGAGTTTTGACTACCCATGTGTAGAGTGGTGTTGCGCCTAGAGTGAATATTGTAGAGAATACTATGACATATATATTGAGAGATTTTTTGAGGATAAATCTTCCTATCTTTCTTAGCTCTAAGGTGGGAGATGATCCTAAGAGTTTCTAGATGGTGTGTACACGGTGTTGAGTGCCATGGGGGTGACTTCTAGGGAGAAGGAGGAGCTAGCTTTGTATCAATTGAGGGAGGTTTCTCAAGTGGGGTGTACTTAATCGAAAGATAATACCCCTGTTTAGTCGGAACCTATTGAGTGGTAAAAAATTAAAGAAGCTTTTCTAGGAAAGTACTTCCCCGTGAGAGGAGGGAGGTGAAGGTAGAGGAGTTCATCTATTTCAATCAAGGCAATATGAGTGTTGAAGAATAATCTTTGAAGTTCTATATGTTTTCTATATATGATTCATCCCTTGTGTCTAACCCTAGGAATTAGAGGAGTAGGTTTGTGACCGAGGTCGCCTATTAGTGAGAGAGGAATGTCGTACGGCCATGCTACATGATAAGATGACCCTATCTAGACTCAGTGTTTATGCTCAATCAATTGATGAGTCTAAACTTGGTAAAATTGCTAGAAACTTGAAGATAAGTGGTTCAAGTGATCAAAGTCAACCTAGGTTCAATAAGAAGTTTGCAACTCAAGAAGAACCTAGGGGTGCTAAGGTGAAATTTGAGAAAGCAGGTGGTTCTCAAAATGGAAAGCCTACATGTGCGACTTACGGAAAGAGTCACTATGGGGAATTCCTATTGGGTACAACGAGTTGTTTTTGATTTGGTAAATATGGACACAAAGTGATGGATTGTTCTACTAGATATGGTAAGAAAGTTGCTCCTAATGTTCCAAAAGATGACGCTCCAAAGAAAAGGCGTTTCTCTGCACTCCGGACTAGAAGAGATAAGCCGGATGAGGGTGATGATGATGATGGCAAGTTATTGTATTTCTCTCTTTAAGTGATATGAATTCCTTCTAAGTGGGGGAGTATGGTTAGTAGATGAGTTAGATGGTCATAGAAGCTTGTTGCATGTGCATAGTGTTTAGGAGTCTTGTTGGAATTGAATTTCATTGATTCCTTGCATTGTGCATTTCATGAAGTTATGATTATGTTGTAAAATGTGATTATATGGCTTTATATTGCGTATTAGCATGTCTCCTCATGAATTGCCTAAATGTAGGATTTTTGATATTTGGAAGCATGTTCACTATGATGACTGCAAGTTTACTGTAATGGTTTTGCAAAATTGTCTAATTCATTGTTTGGTCAAAAATTGTTGAAATGTATTTATAAATTATGTATATGATCATGATAATGAATGTAAAATGATTTTTTTTCTATTTGGAACGAATGATGTATGTTTTATGGCATTATGAGTTCTAGAATTTCTTCTAGTTTCTTGTTGTGTTGTGAATCACTTGATTATGTGAAATTGATGTTTCTTCTAGATTTTTTTATTGTATAAGGTGTTATGTGGTATTATTATGATATTTTATCTGAATTTCTACTCTTAGAAGTTTTTGGAGAGTGGCAAATTTCATTCGAGGAAGAATATTGTTCAAGTGGGGAAGAATGTGACACCTCGAAAATGACTTTGGTGACGCTAGATCCTAGCATGTTTTTCATGAGCTTATAAGGTACTAAAATGGTTTATAATTTGGTATTGAGTCAGTGTATAAAGATTTAGGTGCATTTGAAGTCAAACGTCAAGGGACGACCAACACGTTCGACGACTAGTCACCTATGTGCCTCATGTGTATTTATGTAACTACATGTGTGTTTCATGAGTTAATGAGGTATTTATATGATTTATTATAGTGTTTACAGGTAGTTTGTCATGTTTTAAGAGTTTGGAGGTCAAACGTCCAAGAATGTCCATGACGTTGAAAGAATTGCCGTAAAACGACCTTGT